TTTATAGTATTTCTAAAATAAAAGGACTAATGTCCCATATGAGATGAAGACTTGATTCCTCCTTGCTATGTAGCCATCTTAAAGTGACAAATAGTTTGCAGAAACAAAATGAGTTTGTCATGACCCAGTTACAGTGCTAAGATGTATTAGATATGGCATTAAGAAGAGGTAAAAACTCCTGAAGAGGAGCAGAAATACTTCCATATCCAGAAGGAACACTACTAGAGATCCTGCCAGTCTGGAAACGTGTTATTTGAAGGAGGGAGGATGAAAAGAGCTACATATTCTTTTTAGTTTAAGTTTTGGCCTATTAAATGGAAGCTGTTATTTGAAATGCCGCAGGGAGTTTGGGTTCCTCTGAGGGGAACACCTGTGTTGGTGTCAGAGTACAGTTATAATGTGACATACTTGTGAAGAATGCTTGCCCAAACATCTTATTTCATTGATAAAGCTGAAGGAGAAGCAAACAGAGAGAACACAGGAAGTTTACACACTATGAAGGCTTGTAAGCACTACCTGGGGTCGAAGGATGCAGACATTTAAAACAGTCAGTAAAACAAAATGCAATTTAGAATTCTGGAATTCAGAAACCAGTACCTAAAATATCTGAAGAAATATGCACACTAGATTCTAAGGAGAAACTTGGGAAACAGCAATACTGAAAGATACCACAGGGAACTGGGAAGAGACAGGTCGTAGCAAATATGCAAATGATACTGATTAGGAAAATGCTCGTGCAATTTGAGTTGAATATGCAAAAAATTTATATCATAGGAGAATAGAGACTGTCTTCTCTCTAGGCACAGCTTTTGTGTGGCTACTTTTAGAATATTTTGTTAATTTTGAACATTTTCTTTTTCATAGAAATGCTGACAAACTGGAGGGAGTGCAGAGAACAGCTACTTTTTCGTGGACTTGAGAGCTTAATTTTTAATGAAAGAATGAACTGCTACACACACATTGTCAAATTAAATTAAAGCTCATATATATCCTAATATATTTCAAAATAGTCTACAAATATTGAAGAACATAATCAGCAAGAACTAAAAAGAGCATTCTTCATTTTTCCAGAGCAATGGAAAAGACGGTAAGAGAGCATCTGTCTGGTTTTGCGTGATGGGAGAGACCTCTTCTATGCTTCTTCTAAAGTCCTGTCTTAAAATGTCAGGGCTGCCTATTATTTGCAGTGTGGCTGAACTGATAGTGAATATACATAGCTACATTTACAGCCCAAGGACTTCTAGTGTGTGTTCAGGCACAATAAGTTGATCCTTACTGTTATTTTTCTAAGCACATAAAATTAGTTTTGTATGGAGACTAGCAAGACTTTCAAGCTACAGTACAGATGAAGGATACGAAAGAGCCAGAAGATTCTGAGAAGAGGAAGGCCAGCAAATTTTTTGGATGTACAGTCTTTCAAAAGAACAAATGCAAAGATAGACAAGACAGGAGATAGAAGACTACGCAGAGCGCTTGTCCACACAAGATTGTTCCTTTTTTCCTTCACTGACAGTGATAGAGGAAAAAATATTTCTATATCAGAAGGATATCTAATGAACTATTCAAAAGTTAGCACAGTATTTAAATATTTTCCAAAAAATTAATGTATAATATCATTAACATTCTGTAAAACTGCAATTGCCTACCAAATAACTATTGTATGGGAAAAGGGAAATGGGGGAAAGGGGAAAATGTTTGCACCTGGAAACACAAAGTAAAAGTTCCACAAATAACTTAAGTTGGGTCATATGTAAAGCCCTGATCTCTGTCTAGCAATAAACACTTTATATCTCAACAACCAGACTGTACCAGGATTTCCAGTATGGATCTAAACAGTATCCCCCCAAATTGTATGCAAAATAAAAATGTTGAAAACAATGTCACTATATTTACAACATTAGGCCTACATTTGGTTTTAGTCTAAATGAGAACTACCATGAACTGCCATAATATAGATGAGCAATTGCAACATTCACCAATAACATCTACAACACAGTTTCCTTCAAATTCAGCCATCAATTAGCTGATTTTTTTTTTGATCTATCCACGTGTATTCTAGCATTTCTAGTCATATAGACAAGGGTGAAGGATATTTACACTGTCTAATTCAATTGAAAAAGTTAACACCTGCCCTTCAAAATACCTAATTTTAAGGGCAGAATCAGAATACCTAATTTTAAAGCTTCTTCCTGTCCACTGACTAGGCCTAGATTCTAAATTTAGAGAACTGAGTTAGATAAGCAAAATTTGATGTGAATGTGTGAATACCCCTCAAGTCACCTATCCTATTATAAGGAAAAAAGTTAGTATACACATACCATTGAAATAACTGCAAAAATCTGATATGATTCAGATACGCTGTTCAAAATGCAAACAGAGTAGGGAAATAGAGTACCTTCTTTTTGAAACTTAATTATAAATTTCTGAAGTTTCATATAGTTATTTTTAATTGCTACATTATGCTAAGCACTTAATTTGAATTTAATCAACAATTACAAAACTGAGTGAACCTTAAACAATTCTTTGAGCTGTAAATATTCTTAGGAACCAAGTTTACTTTGTACAGTGCAATAGCAATTATGTATCAGTGCACAGGACAGCTCCAGGAAGAAAGTGGAAAAATATATTTTCTAATTGAAAGTACAGGAAGATGAAGGAAAAGCATGACTGAATCATTCAAGTTGAAATCTGACTTGAGGGACTAGTATCCCTGCTCTCAGGAAAATGCTCAAGTGTCTTCCAGTAGCATATTCAATTATTACTGGTTTTAAAATCATATCTTACAGATGGCATCTCAAAAGCACAATGTCATGATCACATCATTTCCATACCAATTCAGTAATGGCAGGAGAGCATGATGGAAGAATTCCATCCACATAAGATACTAAAACCACTTCCAACAACAATTCATGTTTTCCTGAAGGCTTGCTATCGCAGTATTTCATGTTGACACAATAAATTTTTCTTTGTCATTTACTTAGAAGAAATACAATATGGGGCCAAAGGTTATGTTTCTTCAGATATATTACTTGTAACACATGCTGGCACACTGATTTTCTTCCCTTTAGACATTTTTTTGAATTAATACTTTAATAAACTTTATTACGAAGGCAATGAACAAACCTTAACAGTTAAAGATCACTGATACTTTGTAATAACACCTGGAATTCAGCCTCTTCATTGTGATTTAAGGAGGACAGAACAGATTTTTGAGGACAGAACAGATTTTCTGAAAAACTAACTATTTTGTAAGTTAAATGAGTCACATAAATAATATTTTACATAAATTTATAAATTCTTTTTAAGCATTGGAAAAACTGGGCAGGTGAAACATATAATTCTGTTATAATCAAATAAAGTCTTGCATATTGATTATGTTTAATAACAATATATTTTTTTCTTCAGTACAAGTTATTAATGATTTCTATATCTAGGTATTATTGTTATATAGTCTAAAACCATTTCAACAACACATATAATTTTTCAAATGGGTCACAGTAACATCAAAAATAACCAGACAAATCATCATCACCTGTCTTGTATTCAGTTTGAGTAACAGTGATAAACCAATATAAGGAAAGTATTAGGTTTTTACACGCGAAGTTCTCATTTGCTAATTTATTGGCCCAAATGTCAGTGCTGTTTGAGTATCTGTAGCTCATTTTGGGCACTGGCTGTAATGCTTTCTCTGGCCCTACTGTCTAGGCTCCACTTGGCATAAAGGTATTCAGGGAAACTGAAGGAAATGTTCAGTCTTTTCACACAGTGCTGGAATACAGCTTTCTAAGCCATTAAGGTAGTTTGCAAGTAAGAGACCAGTTAAACCAACACATTTGCCACTTTGTGCTGCTTTAGCAAAGTGAACCACCCGTAAATCCAGTTTCACTAGCTTGTACATTGTGGTTATTTTATACTGCCCCATTCTCTGATAAGTCACCCCTTAAATTTTAGCTCCTTAAGGGTGCTAGTACACAATCTAAAACCACCAGAGATAACATACAGGAGCATTTGCTTTTCATTTCTGTTTAGTTATTAAAATGCTGTAAGACAAACTAAAAAATATTTTTAAAATTCCAAATGAAAACATCTTGAACTGCAGTTATGATTGACAGAACACAGTGGAAGTTAAAAAAGCATTATACACATGTTATAATGAACTCAAATCACCACTTAAAGTGTAAGCATTTTAAAATCTGTATGAACACTTAAGAGAAATGTCGTTACGTTTAATTACGGAAATATACACTTAAGACCCTCTAGTGAACATTAGCAGACAAAAGTATGTTATTTTAAAAGTTCAAATTAATCTAATTTGGGTCTATAAATATCAAAGCACTTCAATAACTAATATAGTCATGGCCATGAGGTTGTTTCTTTTTTCTTACCTTACTGCTCCTTATAAGTGAAACATAACTGAATTTCCCGTTCAACCTTTATTGATGCAGGTTACCTCCACCTCTGTGCCTGGTTAGCATTTTTGACAATGTGGTGTCAAACAAAGTAACAGCAGCTTTGCAGAGATTTTTTTCCTCCCACTATCTACCTCCCACTTTCTAGCCTATAATGCAGCAGCTCTCAATGCAGTAGCCTGCAAGGGAGAATTAAGGAATCTATTTTGTTCCTCTTTTCCTTGTGCCAGACACAACAAAAGCTACATGCATTTTTTGTTTAGCATTGCGCTAAGGTAAATTATCCCAGGACACTATTAGAATTTTGTTCTGTGAGAGAACTGGAAATCCATTATACTATGTGAAGTTTTAGCCTGAAAGCCCTTTTGGTCCAAAATCTAAGCTCACAGTAATTATCTCATACTGTATCCCCCATTGGTTTTACTACCACTAAGCTTTGTATCACCTGACCTGTCCAAAAATGTTGCAAAGTAAAGTCATAGAGTAAATTTCAACTCTCCCCCCCTCTCCAAAACCCCCAACCCAACACTACACCTGCCCATGTATTTCTACACCAAAGAGAGTATTTTTCTTATTCCAGGACTATCTCACCTCTGGAGTGACATCTCGTGGTGCAAACCCTGTTCCTCCAGTTGTTAAAATCAAATTAAGTTCCTTTTCATCACACCAATCTATCAGCGTCTCCTGAAAGAGAATAGGAATGCTGTCAGGTCTGACAAGGTAATACCTGGGACACAGTGATGTCAGAAAACACCTAAAGGCTTAAAATATCTTAAAAATGAATGAAGAGACACATAAGAAATCAAAGGAATTGTAAAATCACTCATGCTATTTTTTACAAAGACTCTAAACCACTATAACCAACATATGACATTATAATTCAAGTATCAGGCATAATAATTTTGGAAATAGACACAGAAATTCTATTCTCCGTCTCTTGATCTGAAATAGAAAAATAAGAATTCTCAGTTATTACTTATATCACTGTTTATTTTGATTCTGAAATATATATATAATGTGTCAACACATGCTAATAGAGCATGTGCATTCAATTTGGTTTACTCGGTTGATTCCTGTTACAGTAACTTTGGTTTCTGTGCTTCACTTTTTAACAGCCTGAAAAAAGCAAGAGCAATGCTTCTATAAACTTCTCTGTTAAAAGGTGTCAGAATACACCTGACAGAGCAACATAACAGTTATCTTATCTTCTTATAATCATCTTTTCTACATTCCCTACCACATCTCAATAATACTGCGTATACTGGTTCCAAGGCTGGACTAAGAAAGCTTAACAGATCTGCTGTGTAAATTCAGTTACTTACAATACTGGAGAACTGATGATAGTAGAGATATATTTCATCTAAACAAGAAGTAATTTTCATTCTTTTTTTAAATGATATTTTAAACTAATTTTCAGACTGTGATACAAATTTGACATAAGCATACATATTTAATTTCAATATGATTATATCATTTATCGCCCCCCATCTACTGTGGGCAAGCACAACAGCAGGGTGTCTGCAGCTCAAATTCAGCTGATGTGTTACATGAAATATACCCAGGTATTACCCAGTAGAATAAGGATTTCCAGAAATCAGTCAGAGCAACTATTTATTTTGACGGCTATCCTCACTCTAGTAAATAAAACTCTTTCTTCAGAAGAAGGTGAAAACACATTTATGTTTCTGGAGTATTATATTGGGGAGGAAAGAACTGTTTTTGTGGCTGTTGTTGAGAAGTTCATTATTTGACTCATAAAATTAGATCTGAGTGATATACTGAGTATAAAAAACTTAAAGTATTGTTGATAGCCATAAAACTGTCCATAACATTTTAAAAAGTACTATCAATTTATGTTAATCCTCAAGTGTTCTGCAAGTTTAGCACTGCTAATGTTAAGTCTAGCTAAGAAAAATCTCATATATCATCTGCCGGCAAGACCCATCACGCAAACGTACTCAAGGATTACTTGAAGAAATGGCACAGCCAAAGGTTCTGTGTTTATCTCTCCTTTCTTTACTCGTTCCTTTCCTTCTGCTTTTGAGTTTATGTTATTGTCTTTATTAAAATTACATCTGTCGTTTCATTCTTCTCTTCAGTGGATTCACTGTAGTTAGGTGGGGTGGGCTGTAATTTGCCATAAGTTTCTGGTTATACGAACATAAGCTCAAGAAAACAACATGCATACTTGTCTCAGACACGTACATAAATGAACAGCTACTAAGTCTGAATTTTATTTTAGCTTACATGAAAAAATGTACATTGCAGCAGCGAAAAGCATGTTAAATCTTGAAATTACTTTAATAAGATAGATATGCAGCAGTTTGGGGTCTTTTTTGACAGCTGACATTTTCTCAAAGCTGTTATATATTTGTCTTGACTTCCAATAGCAGCAAATTTCAGGGAATACTTGAGGGAAGTTTCAGTGGAGAAATGATGTTTGGCAAAGTGAGAGTTTGATGTTGCATATATTAAAAAAATTACTACCACCAAGAAAAAATTGTCAGTATAAAACAGGAAATGGAGATTTTTTGAGTTTTTTAATGAAGTATTTGTACATGATATTTTTCTTTAGATAAAATAAGCCCTGCCAAACTCCAACTGGTTTTATAGAGAAAATAAATCTTTCATATGTTGTAGTTTTGCTACAATACTCTGGTTAAATTTTAAGGCATCAGCAGGGAAGAAAGAAATGTCATTTGATAGGACACAGAAAACTAAAGAACAACAGTATATACCTTAACTCCTCACATTAACGAAGCAAAAATTAAATGGATATTACTGCTGTTACATCAGTGTACTTACATAGGGATATAATTCTCTATCAAGTTCTAGCTATCCTAAAGAAATACCAGTTTCCACTAACAAGACCTTTGATTATGAAGCAGTAATTTTGCATTTCATTGTATTTTAGAAATGTAAACTGTAACAGCTAAATCTTTTAAAACCATGGAAAAATATCTGAGATTGATATTCAGCTTATTCACTGTGTCTTTTCAAAAAAGTGAAGCAGAAGCTTGCCTGAACATACTAATCTAGATTCAGAACACTCCATTTAACTGTTTTCACAGAATCCTGAGTATAAGCCATTTAAATTTTGAACACAACAGGCCAGACATTTTCATTCCATTCCTAAAATGTTGAAGTATTTTGTTATTACTTTTGATTATTTTGTTAATTAAACCTGTTAAGTCAGACTTGGTTTAGTATCTAGTGTCCTACTATTTGTGATGAAAAAAATAAGTGATTATATTTAGAAAACCCTTAAAAATTACTTTTAAATATCATTTCCAATTAAAAACTGTAGCCTGCAAAACATTCTTATTTACATATTAAGAGTCTAAAAAAAGGAATCACCATCTCAAGCAATTGAAGACAAAAGGCTACTCATATTCACTTTGATGCTGCTATCAGTCCAGCTATATTCTCCATTGGCTTAGCACAGAATTGGATTTGCTGTGTCTTCAGATGAGAATTTCTCCAGGCCAGGGGCTTGATATTTGGCAGCACTCCTTTACTGATGCTATATAAATAAAGTAATGATAATATTACTCTTTAACTACAGAAAATTCCATTACATAATTTTTGAGTGTCCATCTCTTTTTCTATTGTTTCACTGATGATAAGCATTCAAAAAAAAGGAGCTAGGTCAACAGGTTATGTAAATCACTGCCATTCCATTCAAATCAATGGAATTGTGTTGATTTATACTAACTACAGCACCTAGCTCTGAAAATAGTTCTCTAAAGTTACTATCAAATTAAAACAAAACAAAATACTATGGACCTTTGGGAAAAAAAAAAACCAATAAATATCTTACTCGTTTGTAATAATTAATGTTCTAAAACATGCTTTCTCACTGATCTGCTATTGACAACGCAGACAAGGAGAAATCAAGTCATTAGAGTAGGTTCCTCTAGACAAATTTGCGCTTCTGTCATTCTAACCTGTTCAGATTTCACTGTAGTCCTACAATAATTGTATTGAATATATTTTTCTCCTGCATAGAAATAAAACATCTGCTCAGTTGTCTCCTTAAGCTTTGGATCAGTTCTAGTGCCCTGTTCTATATCCCATTTCTTAGTATTTTCTCTTTCATTTAAATAAGTAAGAAAATCTCAGATCTAATACACAATTTAATTCCATCTCTTGCTCCTCCTTCTACATATACAGCATACAGTACACAGGCATACAGTAAAACATTATTTTCTTTGATTTATCTTTTAGCTGCACTAGTTTTCTTTCTTTTTTCACATAGTGAATTTTCAAGAATCTCCACTGACACTTCTTAGCCCAGATTTGACAAATGACACATGTATGTTCAGTTTGTATAACTGATAAAATCTTGCCATTTTTGATAGTGTTCCCTGGATAAAGCCTTGTGATTTATACACATTTTAGTTTATTACTTATTTGCACTTTTTGAGGCATTTATATACATAATAACAGTCACCTGGCTTCAAAGTGCCCCACAACCTGGAACTACTTGTTGGACTTCCGAAGCATTGCCCAGACCTGAAAGTATTTCAGTTATAACACTGCTCACCAAAAACGTTCATGACCTGTTTGAATTTTCTAATGATCATTCCGTTTATTTCACTAGTGCAGCAAAATCTTGTCTCATTCTTTCTTTGACTAAGTTAATCTTTCATACATATATTCATTGATTTTAATGCCAGTAAAGATCGTTAACCCATGGAAAGCAGGTCTACACAGTGCAAAGATCCTACGTTTACTGTTGATTCACACTTGCAAGTTTTTATAAACACTGACATGTTAAGATACATTAAAGTAACTACAAAGGCTGTACGGATGTGTTCTTGTGGCACCACCACTAACCTAATGAGACCTGCCCTTTCACTCAGTCAATAGCTACACCAGTTCCAGACCTAGCTCGTTCAGCGGAGGTACTTTAAGCGTTTCAATGTCCAACATGCAAAATTGTCATTAGACTGAGTTGTAGTACAATGGGAAAGCCACAGTTCTACGACTCAAGCATATATTTAAAAAGGCACCCTCTCTTGATCTGAAGGATTCAAAACATAGAAAATACATTGTCATTTAATTTGGTAGGATTTTCCAACAGCTATCCATGTATATCATTAAGTGCCAATCCCATGGTACCTGAGAAACCTTCTCATAGAATTCACAATGGCAATGGCTAGTATACTTTTTATAAACCATTCATTTGCCATCCTCTAATCACTGCAAGTAAGTGAACAGGAGAAACAAACAGGGGTATTATAGGGAGCCCTTTCTGGAAAGGAACAAACAATTCCCTGATCTTGAGAGATAACCCAAATCTGTGGGCTAATCTGCTTAGTAATTATTTGTAATGTCCATTGCCAATAAGGCCTATTGCCTGATTAAAGTCATAGGCACTCTAATTGTCTCTTCTTGATTACTGCGCGTGATCTCTGCTTCACTTAAATAAAGGAGTAAAGCAAAACTAACTGTGTAATTAATAATTTCATTTTTAGGGTGGCATAGGCACCCAACCATTGATATTATAATATGAAGCATGCTGCTTGCCAGGAATTTGAATTTGAGAAAGGCTGCAAGAGTTACCCTGGCCTCTGATTGTTACTGTATGTGACTCTTCCACATGGACATTAATGAGACTATGAGGAATGCCCTTAACTGGATTAGAAGCAACTACAAAGCACAGAACGATGGTCAGCATGGATCACAGTAAAGGTCTACAAAGAAGGGCTAATGCCTTGAGGACCCGTCTCCTCCAATTCTACAAATCTATGATACTTCTTGTTTTCTTTTAGTCCTATTTTTGTCAGCACTTTGCTACGAATGCATAGTCAAATGTACTATGCTTCCAAAATGACTGAGAATACATTTCTTCAAATCAGTATTATGGTGCTTATTCCTGGGATTAATATGTTTATTTTTCCTCTTATCAATACATAATTTACTTCATAATACAGAGACTTTTATTTCAGTACATGTGCATACTTTTATACACCTTAACCTTTGGAATACTATATGAACACTTTTACCATTTAAAACATTCACTAAAAAAGAAGAGGGACATGCTAACAAATCCAAGCAAATAGGTTTTCCTACACAGTCCATGTAGAATTCTTTCTATGTTCAGTATTGACGCTGGTTAACTAATATTATAGTTGACAAATACGTTCAGTATTTTGCCACATTTGCTAATTTCTTCTAGTCCAAACTTGAGGTTTTTTCTCTTTATATGCACTACTAATACCATATGAAGGGTCATTTATTATACATCAAAATTTAATTAAACCTGCTGGACAAACATTAACGTTAAAATATGAAATTTCACTACAAAGCAATATGTATTTATTTACATTGCACCCCCGAAAGAGAAGTGTTCTTCAGAAATTCTTAAACAACTGCTCTTGCCTGAAGAGATTGTGGTGGCTTTTGGGAAAAGCTACAGATAGTGCTTAAAAATGCAAAATTCTGTATTTCTCCAGTACAGACCTTTTGAAAACTACAAACATTGTCAAAGTATACAACCAGCATACTTTTATATTTAGAAATAAATCCTGTTTATTCTGGAACAGTATACTATAAAATGCAAAGAAAAATCCAATAATTTTAAAATAAATATTCTTACAAACAGAAGTTCTTCCTATTTATGCATGAAATGTTTTTAAAGCTGCAATGGTAACTTTCCTTAGCAAGGAAAAAAAGAATTCCAAGTAAAAAAAGAATTACTCTACATAAAGCCACATTAAATATCACCTTAATTTTCTTATTCTGGCTGCTGCGTCTCATAGTAAAAGAAATAAAATGGTATCTGAGATCACTCATTGAGAAATTATGAATGAATGAGACTATGGAAAAATGTAGCAAAGAAGAGAAAGTTTGCATGGTGGGAGTTTTGGCAAGCAAATTGGATCTAATCTAATTTTGTCCACTGGGTTTCAGGAATACATAAACACTGGCAGGCTAAGATCTCCTTACAAACTTTGCTTAGTCCTGTGGCTTAAATAACTCCAACCCCCGGTTCACAACTTTTTTAGTTACAATTGTACAAAACGCTACTACTTCCTTTAACCCTGATATTATGGCATGGGAGAGCCAACTCAGTGTGAGTCAGAAATTCACAACACAACACACAAATACAAAGTAGGAAAAAAAGAAAAGTTTAAGTTACCTAGGTACTCATTGTCCCTCATTACCGTAACATTTAAGAGTATGAATCTTCTCTACACAACTGACTGTGACTTGTCCACTAAATTGAAAGGGAAAATGAAGTATTGAGAATTTTGCAAGAACATGAATAGCCATAAAGCAAAAGCAGTGTAGGAAAGATAAAGAGCTAAGTTCAACGCTGAGTTTGACAAAAAGGAAGCCTTTAGAAGTGTTAATCTATCTTGGAATTAATTTCATATTTTTTGCTCCATTTCTTCTGACAGTACTATTTCATATGCTCACAAACTCTCCCTTACTTCTTGAAAACTTCACTGAAATGTAGAGGTATGAAGATACCCTTATGGGAGGAGCAAAAATCTTGTAAATAACCAATTTCAAAATTATTTAAGAATGTTGGAAAGAGTAAAATACCATCAGACTATACTCTAAATTTTCTGATATCTCCACCCTTTCTTTCCTTCCTCCACCAATGGAAGGCAGAGAGTAACAGAAATCTTAAAATTGTTCTCAAAGTGTAGTCACTGTAATCAAGAAGCTTGGACAAAATAGAGGTACGTATGTGAATGTCTCTAAATTGACCTTTCTTTTTTTTTTTTTGAAATTTTCCTGAACATAGCTATTAGCCTTTTGAAGATGCTACAAGTATATTTGCAGTTTTCAGCATTGCAGTCATTTTACATGTATTTTTCTAAATACTGTTCCAATACTAATGATAAACAGAAAGTAGTAGAAATGTAACTAACTATTGCACTGAAATGCAAAATTCTGAAGAGAAGAAAGTCATAAAAACGAACTCTACAAATATCTTAAATTTTTTAAACAGATATTTAATTATAGGTATTTTCCATTTCTAATAAATTGCAACTATCCTGTATTTCAAGGTTCATCATATCTATGCAGCCTGTTACATGTAACAGCTCTAAAAATGTACTTCATAACTTATAAAAGCTAGCATTCATCTTCATGATAATTATCCCTAAAATAGGAAAAAAAGTAGGCACTGAAGTTCAATGCTCAACTGAAGTCATCTGTACAAATGAGTAGGGAAAATAAAGAACAGAGATGTGCACTGAAGTGTTTGCTGGTCAAACTAGCAGGACTGGGAGCACCAACACTGAAGTAATTTGCTTTCTAAGGACTAAGATTAGCAAAACATTGTGAGCTGTTAGGCTGGAGAAAGGTAAAGACAATGAGGACCATTGCTGTACTTCTTGAAACATGCAAGACTCACACCAGGATAAGATATTTAAACCCTCACTTTTGTGATTCCTGTCCTCTCAGAAAGACAAAAGAGAAAGAGGTATTCTTAATTAACTAGAATTCTAGTTAATTAACTAGGCATAAGTCTTAGTATAAAAAAGACAAATTATGACTTTATTGTGTGATTTATCATACTGAATGAAAACCTACAACGGGATACAGTTCAGATGCAAAGTATGAGTCCGTATATGGGCCAAGGCTCAAGAATTATTGATTTCCTTCTCTACAAAAATCCCATCCAATACACTGTTAGTGCCACAAGTATCCTCCTGGAGTGAGTATGGAGTTCTTTAAATCATAGTTACTCACTGCAAAGGTTCTGTCACTTTGGTAGAATAGTCTTCCTCAGGTGTCTGGAGGAAGTGACGGAAGCTGAAGCTGTCAGAAGACTCAGAACAAACATGTCTTTTTCTTGAAGCAACCTCCCTGTCCACTCTGATTTTGGTAGCTACGTCTGTGCATAAATATGTGTGTGCACATACATACACACTTGCTCATCTTTACATATTAAAAATATACTAGCAAAAGTACCAGAGTTCCATGTGGCTTGCTTCTTCAAGTGTAAAAGATCTCTTTCTAATATATGTTTATTTACTAAAATATTATAGCAGTAATAAAAATTCAAGAGTCTCTCTTCAGAATTCATTTCAAATCAATTAAAAATTAAATAAAAGAAAATCTGAAAATCTTAACTCCTCCTGGCCAGTATTACTCTTCTCAGTGAGAATCTTGACATCTAGTACATATTCCTCTGATTAATTACATTAATCCAAAGCTGCTCATTTCAGCAAGTAAGCTGAAATTTTCTCTCTTCAAGATTTTCTGTTTTAAAGCAGCACTTCAAAGACTCATTATCACAAGATAAAAATGCTTGGGTTTGGAGCCATAAACCTGAGATTAACTAGGTAAAACAGGACAGCTTCTTCCACGTTTTCTTCCCCTTTGCATACATTAGTGTTAATCTAAGATTGTTTAAAACACTGTTTACTTTGGATTTCCTTCTCAGAATATGAAAAAGCAGCTTGATGTTACACATAAGTAAGTATCTTTCTATAACTAGAGTTCTTTAAGATATCTTACCCATGTGTAGCCATGTCTAGAGCACACATATCCCATGTACCACAGATCAGAACAGTTTAGCCATCTTTGCTAGTTGTAACTCAACCATGATATCCTAGGTCCTATTCTTACCAAAGACACAGAAATGGCAAAGCCACAGAATACCAGCTGTCAATTTCTTTGAGGTGCTAAAACAACATTAAACTGATTCAATAGTAAGGAATTAGGAAAAACATGTGGGTTGCAAAAGCAAAGGCGATACATCTCAGAGAACTCCAAGTACAAACAGATAAGAATCATATTGCCATGATAGCCCTCAACTCAGATAACCTGTACTTCTTTGAAAACTATACTTGAAAATAAGCACTCTGAGAATTTCCATGTGTATATTTGCACTCCATATTTGCATGTGGAGAAAATCCACATCTCTAATTTAAGTCAGCTTCTACTTTGCATCCACTTGTTCTGTTTAATGGGCAGTGAGCATACTAGATTAAAAATGGTTGCAAATAAGCTTCTGCAATGAAGGAAAAAAAAAGAGAGAAACCCAGCTGTGGGAAAATTATTTAAACTGAAATATTTGGTTTTCTGCAACTATGAATTTTTTTAAAAAGTAATACAATTGTAAAACCATAACTGATTCTTACAGAACACAATTCAGCTTCTAGCTTCATTTTCTAATTGTAAGCATAATCTTACATATTATATGTATTTAGTTACAATTGTACAAAACGCTACTACTTCCTTTAACCATTTTAATATTATTACATGCTACATAATTTTGGTTTTTGGTGTAGCTTTCAGCAGAAATGGCAAATTGGATGGAGTGATAATCACTCAAATATCTAAAAAAAGTTTAGATGGGGGGACAAAGACAAGAGACACGAAACCATCACAGAGACAGGGAACTACTTCAGTCCAATGCAGTTTCTGGGATAACTTCCCCATGTGTTAACTGTTCATGCATATCATCCACAGTCAATGAATGAAATTGTTAAAAAAAAATCTATTGTTTTACACGTGAAAATACAATAAATAAAATTTACCTACCAACAGGTGGTGTGTTTTGAGATATTTAGTCCATATATACATTCTAAGAGTGGGTGAACTCGTGGCCTGCCTTGGAGTATCTTGGGAGGTGCGTTCCAGCTCCTCCCCTCCTCCTGCTTGATGCATGAAATATAGGGCAGAGTGCATCCGCCACCACTTCAGTTCCTCTTAAATGCACAACCATACCTGAAAGAGATTCAGAAAGAGGGGAAAGGAAGGTAGGAGACTAATGTACATGCAGACTATACATCTCAAAGAACACCAGTTACTGATTAGTAACTTTTCTTCTTTGAGTCTGCATGTACATTCCAGCAGTGACTCACTGAGCAGTTACCTTTGCCTTTTACCACCCAGAAGAGAGTCTGAGGACTCCCACAAGCAACAACCGCAGCATCACTCTACTGAAAGCTGAAATAGTCCTGGATACTATTAGTCTAACATACTGCTGAGTGAAAGCAAAGACAGAACTTAAGGCGGTCTTACGCAACTGTCCAAATATCATGCAGTAACGATACTAAGTTTCCAAAGGATCTAGTAGAATATACTTTGGCCATGGGTGGAAGTTCCTCTTGCTGAAGTCCACACACAATCAGAAAACCTTCTGAACGATTGTGCAGATGAAGTTAGCTGAACTTTTGTAAATTCCCACAGCGAAACAAGCAAACAAACTGAAGCTCACTAAAAGACTTGAGAAGAGTCTGTGAAAAGATCTAAAATACCTGTGAAGAGAAATGGCAGGGCACTTATGATATCAAGGACGTGAAGTATAAAATTCAATGAAAGAAGCATAAGACCTGGGGATGAGTACTGGAGGACTAATTGCCTGGCTACTCTGGAACTCTGACACAACTTCCAGAAGGAATCTTGACTAACTGAAGAAAAAATACTCTGTCCTTATAAAGAATAGTATGTGAAATGGCCGCCCTAAGGACCTCAGTCTCCCCAGCAGTTCATTGAGATAGTGGTTACCAGATGTGTCACCTTCATAGATACAGGCAGAAGGAGTAAGAATTTCAGAGCTCAAAAGGGAGAAGGATCCTACAAGGTAGTGGTTTCCCAAGACTTCTCAATCATAAACAGTTCAGTATGTCCTGATGAGCTCTTTTAGGAAGCTATGAATGGCAAGGTGTGAGAACACAAATGTACTCAACCAGAGACAACAGCCAGGCATCTTCATCAAATTACAAGAAGGATTCAAAAGAACTGGATGCAACAAATAACCCGAGAGAGTTGAGATCAAAGCATAGAGGCTAAAAAGCAGCAATAAACACATCACAAAGAAAATACTGTTTTCTTAACAGAATATGCCTGTCCAAATAATAATTTCATGTTACTGGCCAGCATAGTTCACACTGTAGAGAAGGAAGAAGGGATTGCTCTAGAGTATGATTCACGTTTTGACATGGAGAGTACTGAGACCAGGATGAGACACGTGATCTTATTCCTCGGATTACAGGTCCTGATGAGACCAAGAATGAGTTTCACAATTATCAAAGACCTTAGAACCCAAACTACTGTGGCCATGCTGGAACTATCAAATGCTTTATATCTCTGAGCAGTATTAAACTTGGAATATGTAAAAGAATATGAACTAATCATACAAACAGAAGTATGCCTGAGAGGGATGCAGACTGTAGCAAACTTTCAAACAGAATCCATAACTCCTTCTGTTAGGGTGGGTGGCAAATAGGTCTATCGTGAACCGATCCCATTCATGGAAGACCTACTCAAACATAAGAGTTGGTCTTCCATTACTGATCCCAGATCTGTGGTCCTGCTTGCATTGCTAGCAAAGAGTCGAATGAGCTTGGAAAATTAATTGCCCAGAAGTGGCTTCCACTAGCTACATTTCATCACTTCCTGACAAAGCAGGAGATTCTCACTCCTGCTGCTAATTTATATATTACATTATGGCTGAACTACCTATCACCATTCCATGAATGAGATTCAGGATGAAAATTGCATGCATTTCAGACAGTGCAGAGATCCAGAACATTGAGATATTACAGCCATGATCAGAGTTTTGGCAGACATATGGAGAGCTCTCAACTGACTCAACAAGGCATGGAAATTGATAATCCCCAAACCACACAAAACAGAGGTAACATTAGTGACTCAAATGACTAAAACATGAAACCAAGAATCCTAGGTCTATTCCCTAAACTAGCAAAGGAATGACTAAGGGAGTAATATCCTACACTTGAACACATAGCGTACAAGTTCAGTTTCTGTAAATCTGAGATGGAGCAACAATCTCCCTTCATGTGGGCAGAAGAATGCGGTCACTGTGGAATGCTCTGCTCCAGGCTTGCATAAGGATGCCACCTGGAAACAAGAGAGTATTGTCCTTCTTTTAGACAAAGATTTCATAAGAATACTGAAAACAGATGTGGCGGGGGGGAGAATGATTGGAAATATTGTGAAGGCGATAAAGGAGACAGCATATTTTAACCAGGAGAAGAGAAGGAAGCATGGGATAATGACCCAAACCACTCTGCAGATGTGAAGCAGGCAACTAGATTCAGGCAGTGCTGTGTTTGTGTTACGAGTTAGGATAATCAAAAAGATAATGAAATTATCTGCCCTGTATGCCACTCTGAGCAAGAGTAGGGGGAAGAGCTAAAATACAGTCTCTATGAATACCACAAAAGAAATCTCACATAGCAGGGTACAAGTACACCCAGAGTTAAAATGTACACAGTGAAATTACACAAAAAAGTTTGCCTTTACTGAATATTTCTCTACATGTGTTCCAACTCTGAAAACTTACAATCAATATACCATAAAAGGAGAAGCATACTGCAAGTCTAATCAACGCACAATTGCAGTATGGCTTTATCAAGTCAGACATCTGAATAAGATGCCAAAATAATGAGTGAAATTTAGCAGAAGCACATACAGTACTGCAAAGAACAGACAACCTTATGTCCTCTAAAAGAATATTCCTAAAGGCGTGGATCCTGGTGGAACATAACCAATTTTTTCTTAGGAAAATCTAGTTGAGTTAACTCTAAAGCATACAAAAAAACAGACCTGGAGGGAACCTTAGTTATCCTATCTCTCTATCCAGTTGAAGATTATTTTGCCATTCCTGACAGATACCTGTCTACTAAACATACTCTTAAAGATCAGTAATATGTTTTACTTTTGGGGGAAACAGGCACTGGAAGAATAGATGAATAAATAAATAGTTTTAAATGAAAACCTGAATTTCTGGAAGAAATTTAGAGATGTGTTCTAAAGGGTAACTTCTTCCTTATGAAGGAATGTAAACAGAGTCTAAGCCAGTTATAGGAGGGCTCTTAACTCACCATCTTCTATGTTTAACAGGGAATGTTGCTACAATAGACAAGTAAGACTGATAAGAACCACATTAATATTCCAGATTTGAGTGAACTCTTCTACTTAAGAGGAAAGTCTGATAATCACTGCAGGATGAGAAGAAATTATACGTTACTAAACTGGTGGATGAAGGGCTGAAATAGCTACTGGATGTATACTAAGCCTAATCATCATTAGGTCCATGAGTTTTCAGCAACTACAAGTGTTCTAGAGTGCTGAGAAACCAAGCCCTCACAGAAGACAGATTCCCCCTGAAACTAAGCCATTTCCATTTTGTAGCACATGTAAATGTTACGGACTGTTTCCCACCCTGAACCAAAATTTTCTGTATGTTTAAGTAGTCAAAGACCTTATTACACAACATGATATGAAAAGTGAGGTCTGAACGACGTGCATATCTATCGGCCTGAACGACTAACGTGGGAAGAAGGCAGAATGATTGGAATAGATGCTCACAAGCTCTTGAATTTGAAGTACAACTACTGTCCAAATCATGCTGTCATGATTGTGGTGACTTAGACACTGTTCTAACCACAAGAGAGTGAGTGTTGGTAGATAAGCATAACAGATCTGAAAAGTATGGACTTAGAAAGACATCACTCTAATGACTCAGATGCTCTTCCCCCCTAGAGAACGGATATTTGCATTTCTTGATGTTCTCAGTTACAGATTAATCTGTGGTGAATAATACTGTCAACGCAACTTCCCATTCAAATAGCCAAAGAAATTTCTGTTTAGAAGATTTGGCAATATATTTTGAAGATAACAAAGATAAAGAGTTATTATTATACAATAATAAGCACACTTCCATAGACTGGCTCATTACATAAGAGATGGATCTAGCACCTCATTGTTTGCTCATGGAGTGCATTACAATGGTGCTGTTCACCCCCAAATCATTGTTCTGACCATCAATGTACGGATACCGAACAGCCCTCCAATTCTGCCTAGCAACATCTACCAGATGCCTCTCTTTTTGCAACCATGAAGCCATTCACTGACATTGCTTTACATTTGCAGGGAATACCCCTACCAGCTGAGAAATTTAAAGATTCCTATTAGGTTTCACTCTCTAATGCCTAATTAGGATGTATAAATTAAAAATGTTTTCAGTCATCCAGTGCACGTACTGGGCATGAGAGCCAACAACTGAAGGCATTATCTTACTGCGATCTATGACTGTCCTAGAACTGTTCTCATTTCAGAGAACGTGTACTTTTGCCATGGTGAAGTCTTTCAGGCCACCAACAAAATCTATTTATTTCTCGAGTATGAATTAGATGGGAGTTATCTGTGTTCAACTTTCTATTGTACTACAAAATAAAAAAGTATGTGTAGAGAACACAATGTTATGTGTGATTTGATGGTGAAAGGATCCTTGTCCAAATCAGCTCACTACATGAGTATGCAAAGATATTTATTTTTCAAAGGAGTAATTACTACCACAGCCAGACAGTGAAGAAATTAGAGTAGAATTTTTAGATAGTAAATGACTTTCCAAGTCTAATAATCAATGCCAGATTTAGTTTCTAGAAAACAATAAAACATCAAGAAGAAAATCTCTTCTTTCAAAGCTAAGTGTCCTTTATTTCTCCAACGTAGGGAACGGATGAACATCCTGCTCTGATACATTATTGTTGTGGGGATATATGAATATGGAAGAGATATTCTGCAACTGGTTAGACTGCATTTCTCCATTATCTGGTGACCAGGAGTAATCTTAGGAACAGTACAAATGGTTCTCAAAAGGGACAAGGAAAGCATAAAAACCCATTAAGATTTAATAAAAATTCTTAATGCAAACAGGTTGACTGCTGTTGAAGGTACTGACAAATAAACAAACA